CAAGGAGTCTCAGCTACAGCCTCGAGGCTGAGCTTCAGCCTCTGGGGGGGTCGCCGGGGTGGCTCTGCCGGGGAAGGGGGGGTGGGGGGGGGGGGGGGGGTGCGAGTTTCCGGCGAACCCCGGGGCCGCTCCGGGGGAGTGGAAGATAGGGGGGGGGGGGGCGCCATGCTCCGCTTTTTCCGGCGCTTTGGAGGAGGGGGGGGGCCCAAGAGACCCCCAAGGGGTTCCAAGAGGGCCCCGAGTCGCCGAAAAATCGCTCCAAGACGCCCGAGATGGCCTCCAGACGGCCCAAGGTGTCTCCAAGACGCCCCAAGAAGCTTCCAAGAGGCCTCCCAAGAGGGCCCCAAGAGGCCAGAATCGTTGATTTTCATTGGTTTTCTCAGGGTTTTTAGCGTTCTTGCCTTTTCGGGCGTCCGACGCTCGAAGACGGCCCAAGAGGCCCCCAAGTCCGTCCCAAGACGGCCCACGATGCTTCCAACACGGCCCAAGAGAGCCCCAAGACGGCCCAAGAGGGCCCCAAGACGGCCCAAGAGGGCCTCTGGACAGCCCAAGAAGGCCCCAAGAGAGCCCCAAGAGGGGCCCAAGAGGGGGACCACGAACCGAAAGAACCGAGCTTTCCGCCCCAAGAGGCCCCCAGGAGGCCCCAAGAGACCCCCAAGGGGCCCCAAGAAGCCCACAAGAGGCCCAAAAGAGGTTCCAAGAGGCCCCAAAACAGCTCCCCAGAGGCCTCCAGACTGCCTCCGGCAGGCCCCCGGTTTCTTCCGCGGCACCGCCCAGGGCGCCACCGGCAGGATGTCCTCCGTCTCATCGTTTTCCTTCAAGTTATCGCCTCTTCCTCATTCTCCTCCTCCTCCTCTGCGACCTCACTCCTATCCCTCAACGATCGCGTCACCGAGTGCCTCTTCTTTGAAACATCCTCGCTCTTCAAACGCACATCCATACACACATGCATACATACCTACATTTAAACACATTTGCATACATAGAAAAACAATCTTCCAGACATACATACTTACATTCACACACATACACACATATTATCATACACACATACAAACATACATACAAACTAAATACATACATACGCGCACAAGCATACATACATACATACGTACCTACACACAGGCACACATGATCAATGCATGCATACATGCATGCACGCGTACATACACACACATATATCGTGAAACTCACCGCGTGCTCGAAACTTGAGAGAGACCGCGGGAAGTCGAGAGAAGCCGCGGAACGAGGCCTCTACTACTACTACCACTACTACCACAACCACTACTACTACTACTACTACCACTACTACTACTACTACTACTACTACTACTGCTACTACTACTACTACTACTACTACTACTACTACTACTACTAGTACTACAGGAGCGTTTCCCAACTAGTATGTGTGTGTGGGTGATGCTGTGTGCGCATGTCTGCGGCGCAGGTTAAGTGGTGTGACTGTGTGTGTGCGTTTGAGTGTGCGCCCATAATTTCTGCGTCTGGAGAATAACCCCGAGCGACCCGGATCGGCGGCACTGGCCGAAGGCCACTACAATATATATATATTTACTCAAGGATTCAGCCAGAACGTCCCGCTTGCTTCTCGTACCTCGAAGACGCTTCCCGTCATCCGCCAACGAAATATCCCCGTGCAGCGCGGCAACCCATAGATATAAAGATATATATATATATATATTCACTCAAGGATTCAGCCAAAACGTCCCGCTTGCTTCTCGTACCTCGAAGACGCTTCCCGTCATCCGCCAGCGAGGTCCGGGATGGGATCGGTGGCCCTTAGTTACAGAAAATGAAGCCCCAGAACCAACGGTGCACGCCGGAGGCGCTTCCCGTCATCCCGAAATGTGTGTTTCGCGGCGCGCGCGGAACTTCGATAACTCCTTGCAGATACATGTTCAACCACGCTTCTCGTACCTCGAAAACGCATCCCGTCATCCACCAACGATCACCCCCGCGCGGCCCGTCACCCCATGTTTCGCGGCGCGCGCGGATCTTCGATAACGTCTGACAGATATTCAGCCACAGCGTCCAGCTCGCTTCTCGTACCTCGAATACGCTTCACGTCATTCATAAAAACGGTCCACGCCAGAGGCGCTTCCCATCATCCGCCAGCGAGGTCCCAGGTGCTGCGCGGAGCCATTAGTAAATGAATATTAAACTCGATTCATAAAAACGGTCCGCGCCAGAAGCACTTCCCGTCATCCGCCGCCGTGCCCCGGCACGAAATGGAGTTTCCCCAGGTGAAGGCTGCAAAGAGGTAGGCGTGCTGGTGGCATTGCCTCTGCCGAAGCGCCAATGGCGCGAAGCCCCTAATTAATTACATAACTAAGACGAAAGAGGCCGCCGCGGCCAAGCCTGGTCACAAGCAGCAGGTCAGGCGGCAGGCGGCCGCCGGCCAAGTCCAGCCAGCCGCCGAGAGACGGGGCAGAAGGAAGGAGGGAGGGGAGGGGCCGCCCGGCCGCCTATGCCACCCCCGCCGGTGCAGCAGCAGCACCACCACCGTCGTTCTCGTGGGGGCGTCCTCGGGGGCGTCCCAGGTCCTCAAAGGTAGTTCTCTGTTCTCAGGACTCTTAGGATTATAATATTCAAACGTCTGGGACCCCAAATTTCAAAATTTTCTGAACACTCTCGCGCACTTCTGGGCTTCACCGCGCGACTTTTCAGAAGGCCGGAAGGCCCCAAGACAGGCAAAGACGGCCCCAAGAAGCGCCCCAGAAGGTCCAAGAGGCCTCCAAGACAGCCCAAGAGCGCTCCAAGACGCCCAACATGGCCCCAAGACGGCCCAAGAGGCCCCAAAGAAGCCCCAAGAGAGCGCTCCAAGAGGACCCCCAAAAGGGCCCAAAGAGGCAACATTCATTGATGTTCTTTATGTTGTTTTTTTGTTATCTGTTTTTCGCGTTCTCGCGTTTTCGGGCTTCCGACGCTCCAAGATGGCCCCAGAGGTCCCCAAGACCGCCCCAAGACGGCCCGAGAGGCCCCCAAGGGGGCCCCAAGACGGTGGCCCAGAGGCGCCCAAGATCGCCCAAGAGGGCTCCAAGAGCGGGAACACGAACCGACAATTCGAGCCTTCCACCCCAAGAGGCCCCCAGGAGGCCCCCAAGAGGCTTCAAAACTGCCTCCAAGAGGCCTCGAGAGGCCTCCCAAGATCTCCCAACGACCATCCAAGCGGCCTCTAACCCACAAGCAGGGCTCGGTGGCGGGATGGGCCGTAGGCTACTAGATAGTCATTCGCGGAAGCTTTCTGGACGAGCTTGGAGCAAAAGGCTGTGCCAGTTCGCATCGCGCTGCGGCTCAGCGCCCAGTCATCGCTCCCCCGCGCTGAATTAGCACAGCTCTTACCATACATCGAGGACATAGATATTCGAACGGTGCGTGCATGCAACAAATAAAGAAGCATGTTACGGCTACTGCGCGCAAGGCACTGCAATACATTTTAAAGGGCAATCGGAATCTCTGCTTCTGGGAGTCACTTAAGCTACCCCCTCGAGGGGTGATTCAAACGGCGTGCGCTGGGTCCCTAAATGCCCCTACCCACAATGCGCTTGCATCACGCACAAGTGGAACACGCAGCACGCGATCCAGCGCCCTACCTCTTACGCGCACCCATTGCCCATTCAATACAGGGCCCGAGCGCAGCGGCGTACAGTACGGTTGTTGTTGCTGTCCACAAAAAAAAAAAGCGAAAAGGCACGAGGACGAAGGGCGATAGCAAGTCTGGAGTGGGAGGTGAGCAGCCTTGTATGCCACCAGTCCTTTGGGCGCAGGTGGTTTTGAGTCCCAGCTTGTCCAAGCACCATATTGTTCCTCTCCGGGGGTTGATTTATGAAGACAATCCCACCAGCCCTCTGGGCGTAGGTGGTTTAGGGCGTTTCCTCTTCCACCCCTTCTTCTTCCCCTTCAGGGAAGGGTTTACCCCTCCCCCTACCCCCTCCCATGGACCTGGACAAGGGGTTCCGCGAGTCGTCGGAGCGTCCAAAACAGCCTCGGCGAGGAAGCCAAAATCATTGATTTCACTAAGGTTTTGGCCCCATGTTGGCCTCTTTGGGGGGGGGCCTAATTCATGCTCCCCTCTTGTTTGATCGATCTCCTCCAAAATGGCCCCAAGAAGCGCCCAGGAGGCCCCAAGAGGTCCCAAGATGGCCCCAAGATGGCCCCAAGAGGCCCCCAAGAGGCCCCCAGGAGGCCCCCCAAAGGATCCCAAGCGGCCCCAAGAGGCTCCCCCGAGGCACCCAAGACGCCGAAGAGCCCCCCACGACCGCCAAGAGACCCCCAAGACGTCACAAGACGCCCAAGAGATACCCCAAGAGGCTCCGAGAAGAATCCAAGACACCTCTGGCCCTTTTGCTTCCTCTCCTTCTCCTCCTTCCTCCTCATATACCTTCTCATCCTCCTCCTCCCCTCCGCCTCCTCCTCCTCCTCATCCTATTCATCCTCCTTTTCCCTACTCCCTCATCCATCCATCCAATTTTCTCCTTCGCCCCCTCTCTCCTTTACACGGTTCGGCCGTCCCCCTCTCTGCTCCCGCACTTCCTTGATCACCTCTCAACTCGCCTGGACATCGTTTCTGGATGGGCTGGTGGGGATACTTTTTTGGTCGCGGCCGCGAGCGAAGAGCGCAGGCGGCGAACAGGGTGTCCGAGCCGACGCGCAAGCCTAATTAGCTACTCTGGTGGGGATTTGTTTTTCTTTTTTTTTTATTTGCGGCCCGCAAGGAAAAGTCCAGAGGGCGGTCAGAACGAGGCTCTGGTGGGGATACGCGAAGCGTCTAGAATTTGGTTTGGAAACGTCTACAGGGGCTGGTGGGGACACACGGAGCATCAACATGTTCTGAAAGCGCGAGGGGGGAGGCTGAAGAGGCGGAGGAGGAGCAGGACAAAGAAGAGAAAGAAAGAGAGGAACTACCCCGCGAAGTCAGCGGCTTCCGTGGTGGACCAGCGGATTCATCACCAAGAACGGCATGGCCGCCCGGTCGAATGTGTTCAGGATGTGTTCAGGAATGTCGCCCGGTCGAAAAAACACTTGCCCTCATAATCCCCGAAACGCGGGCAAACGTATCCGAACTTCATCCGGAGCGTCTGGAGCTTAGTCAAGCCATGGAGCCAGCTGCGGAGCGTCTTCTGTTCACTGCTCCAAAACGTGTTGCACCCGTCGAAGTCCAGGTACAGATCCTCGATGTCCTGAAGCTTCGTGATCCCATCCAAAATTGCATCGCGAGCTGCGGGCGGGATCGTGCAACCACGGAAATCCAAATGCAACATCTTTAACTTCTGCAGCCCTCCTAGCCCAGCGCCGAAAGCCTCTAAATCGGGATCGAACGACTCTGCAAAAACGTGTTTTTCGAGATAATGCTGCCGCATGCCCTGCTCGTTTGCCAATTGCCGGCCACAGCGTGGGCACCGCGAGCAGCCACACCAAGGGAGCTTAATATCTGGTTTCTCGGGCACCCTGAGTACACTCTGAAAAGAAATTGATAACTCCTCGAGGTGTCGTAGCTTGCCGAGCCCGTGGCCGAACGCGCTGACCTTCAAATTCCTCACCGTCTGGATGCTGGGGGGGAAGTTGACGTGAAGCGTCTTCAGCTGCTGCAAGCTACACATCGCATCACCAAGCTTGTCAGCGAAAGCTTGACAAGCGCACCGATCACTGGGGAGACAGACGTGGAGCGACTTCAGCTCCTGCAGCGTTCCGAGGTCGTCAAGACAGTTGACGTTGGCGCAATGTTTGGCGATCAGCGCGACATTCGGGCTGTCGGCTAGGCGCATCTTCCATGCAGAAAGCGGGGAAGTATTCGGCAGTGGCGCTGGCGTCCCGATTGCGAAGCTCGCAACCAGATGCGCAGCATGCTCCTCCAGTTTCTGGCCAAGCATGTTGGCGACAAATCTCGCAGTGAGTCGGCGTCGCCACGCTCTCCGCTCGGTTTCTTGAATGGGCGAATATCTTCTGCGGGCCTCCAGCGTCCTGCCGCTGATGATTTGGAACATCTCGTCGGACGGAGGGACGTCCGGGTTGCCGCCCGAGCCATCGCCGTAGAACTTGGAATGCGTGTCCCTGCTCTTATGGTCCTTGCGATTTATATTTGATGAACTTTGGGTTAGCTTGTACAGAACGTCGTGGTATACGTGCAGACTCAGCGCCAACAACTCCTGTGTGTGTGTGCTGCAACGCGTGCATGGCAAACGCCCGCAGCGTTCCGTTGGCCGAGGCCACAGACAACACAGCTTGAGAAAATTGGCTCCTTAAACATCAGGTGGCTGCGGGAGTGCTGCTTATTGCTTTCGGCAAAGGCTACAAGAGCTACGGTCAGGCGGGGCTCGGATCGGTGACCTGGGCCGCGAAGGAAAGCGGTCGAGTTTGGCGGCTCCTTACCTAGCGCAGACTGCGGCGCTTGGGCAGTGTCGGAATCCTGGAAGCCCAAAGAGTAGGAGGGGGAGGACTCATTCCAATTTCTGGCGAAGCAGTAGCAGGAAGAGAAGGAGGAGGACGAGTGGGGGATCAGGAGAAGGAGGAGGAGGAGGAGGAGGAGGAGGAGGAGGAGGACGTCTGGCGCAGCAGCAGCAGCGGCAGGAGGAGGAGGAGGAGGAGGAGGAGGAGGAGGAGGAGGAGGAGGAGGAGGAGGAGGAGGAGGAGTGGCAGGAGGAGAGCAGGAGGGGTGGGTGGAAGGAGTGACAGTGGGAGGCAGGGAGTACGAGGGGGGGACTCCATATGCCTCTGGAGACCTCCAAAAACGCCCTAGAACCCCTTCCAAGCCCTCGAAAATCCCTCCTCCCTCTCCTCCTGGAGGAGGGCGACAACCACCCCGTGCGGCCACGAGGTCATCCAGCCACGTGATCGGCCACGCCGACGGGCATCTACGCTGGCGGCGGAGCAACAGCAGGCCGCGGCCGCGCGAGTTGGTGGCTCCTCACCCCAGCCTTCGCGACGGAATGGAGGATGGGGAGAATGAAAGGGAAAAGGGAACCGCTGCAACCGAACCGGCTTGCCGCCGAACCGGCCGAACTGGCCCGAACTGGGACCTCGCTGGAGGAGGGAAATGGACACACCGGGGAAAAGTGAGGAAGAGAGGGGGACCAGGGAGGAGGGAAGGATGAGGAGAGAGGATGTCTCGTGGCAGCCTCCCGGGGGCGGTTGTGGTGTGTCGTCAAAACCTTTCTGGACGCTGTTGCGGGCGTCTCGTGGGGTCCCATGGGGCCTCTTGGGGGCCTCTTGGGGGTCTCGGAGGCTCTCGGGGGGCTCTTGGGGCCATCTTGGAGGCTTTGGGGGGGTCTCTTGGGCGCTCTTTGGGTTTCTGGGAGCCCGTGGGGGCCTATTGGGTGGCTCCTGGGTTTTTGTTCGGAGCCTCTTGGGAGCCTCGTTGGTGCCTCTTCGAGCGTCTTGGTGTCCTCTTGCGGTCTCTCGAGGCCGCTTGAAGGGAAGTCTCTTAGAGGCATCTTGGGACTGTCTGGGGGATCATGTGCAAGCCTCGGAAGAGCATCGGAAGCGAAAATACGAGGACGCAAAGATCAGTGATTTTTCAAACAAGTTGTTCAATGAGCTTGGCCTCTCGAGGGCTTCCTTGGAGGTCTCATGGGCGGTGTTGGGGGCCTCTTGGAAGCCTCTTGGCACTATCTTTGGCGCTCGTGGGGGTCTCGTAGCCGTCGGGAAAGTGTCCTGGGCCGTCTGAGTCCTTGTGGGCTGTCTCGGAACCGTCCTGGGCCATTTCGATGCTTTCCTGGGGCTCCCCGGTAGGCCCGGGAGGGCGGTACCCGGGATTTGCCGAAGATTGTCCCGAGGTGGGGAGCGCCCTGGTGGTGTGGGGGCGCATTGGTTTATATGCTGTATATGTAATTCATATATATATATATATATATATGTGATGTATGTATGCATGTATGTCTGTATGCACGTAGTCCTAGATGTATGCATGTGTGCATGCATGTATACATGAGTATAAAAATGTTTGTATGTATATGTGCATGCATGTATTGATGGATGGATTCATGCATGCATGTGTGCATGTATGTCTGTCTGTATATATGTATATAGATATACGTGTTTGTAGTGTGGTGTAAACGCAGGTATGTATGTATGTGTGCATGTACGTATGTATGCATGTATGCATACATGCATGTATGTATGTACGTATGTATGTATGTGTGTAAATGTGTAGGTTTGTATGCATGTATGTATGCAGACATGATTGCATGCATACATTCATACATGCATGCATACATGCATGTATGCATGTGCGTATGTATGTATGTATGTATGTATGCATGCATGCATGTATGTATGTATGTATGTATGTATGTATGGCTGTATGTATGTATGTATGTATGTATGTATGTATGTATGTATGTATGTATGTATGTATGTATGTATGTATGTATGTATGTATGTATGTATGTATGTATATATGTGTATGTGTATGTGTGTGTTGTCCGTATATCTGTGTGTCTGTATTCATGCATGTCTGCATGGCTGTATGAATGTATGTACATATGTATGTACGTATGTTTTGTACGAACATCGATGCATACAGGTATACATCGCGTGGGCCCCAACCAGTGCGCCTCTAGCACTATAGGCGGTGCAATAGATGTGCAGCAATCTATGTGGTGCAATTGTTTTTTACCCATGATTTGACACATCCCACGCTCTTGCAAACATCCCACCCACCCACCCGCAACTTGGTTTTCAAAACCTCTTCAGACCGACTACGACGACACCGACGACAACGACTACGACGACACCGACGACGTCTCCCACGACTTCGGCGACGACAACGACGCCGACGCCGACGAAGACGACGACGACGCCAACGAAGACGACGACGAGGAAGGAGGAAGGACGACGACGGCGACAACGACGACAACGACGACAACGACGAAGGAGGAGGGAGGACGGCGACGACGCGAACGACGAAGAAGGAGGAAGGACGGCGACGCCGACGACGACAACGTCGAGGGAGGAGGGAAGACGACGACGACAACGACGACGACGACGACGAATAGGAGGGACGACGACGAGACGCCGACGACGGACGACGACGACGACGAGGGAGGAGGAGGAAGGACGACCACGGCGACAACGACGACGGAAACGACCACGACGCCAAAGAGGACGACGACGACGAACACGAGGAAAGACAGAGGACGTAGGACGACGACGACGACGCGGGAGGAGGGAGGACGGCGACGACGACAACGACGAAGGAGGAGAGGACGGCGACGACGCGAACGACGAAGAAAGAGGAAGGACGGCGACGCCGACGACGACAACGTCGAGGAGGAGAAGACGACGACGACAACGACGACGACGACGACGACGGCGACGACGACGACGACGCCGACGACGGACGACGACGACGACGAGGGAGGAGGACGACCACGGCGACAACGACGACGGAAACGACCACGACGTCAAAGAGGACGACGACGACGAACACGATGAAAGACAGAGGACGTCATAAGCGACGACGACGCCGACGACGCGGGAGGAGGGAGGACGGCGACGACGACGACGACGACGACGCAAGAGCGCGCGCGCACGGCGCGCACGCTTTTGTTGAAAATCCGTGTTGCGAAACCTTGTGTTTTTGTAGGTTTATTTGGACACACGATTTTGAAATCGTTCCGAAACCAATGGGTTTTGAAGGTTTTCGGCATACGCGCGCGACGACGCGCGCGTCTCTACACTTCGTCAAATTTTTTCCAGAGGGTTCTCGCGACGGCACACGCGCAAGGGCGTTCGACAGACTTCGACATGCGCGCGCGCGAAGCCCGTTTGGTAGCATGTTGTGAAAATCTTGAAAAACCTATGGTGTTCTTAAGATTTCGCAAGAGCTCGCGCGAAAGCTTTTTTAGCAAATCAGTGTTGCGAAACCATGTGTTTTGTATGTTTTTGGGAAACTCGATTGCGAAATCCTTCCGGCACCGAAGGTTTTTGAAGGATTTCGGCATGCGCGCGCGACGACGTGCGCGTGCGCACTTCGTCCAGTTTTTTGCAAGGGATTCGTGAAAAAGTGCCATGCTAAAGCAAAAAATGTCACCGCATAATGTTTTTCACAAGGGAACCTCAGGGAGGGGGATACCGGCTGGCCTGGGATAGTGTAAATTCATATTTCGGATGGACATGTGGTCATAATCATATATGATTTGCATATCCGGAAGGGGTACCGATAACGCCGGGGGGGGTAGATCCTATTCTGTTTTTAGAAAAGAGAATTGACTACCCTGCACCGCGCTTGACCACCTCCACTGGTGCAATCTACGTTGTGCAAGATATGATGTGCAATATATGCGAGGCCATCCATCTAGGTCGTGCAACATACATGTATGTACGTATATGCAGTTCGTAAATGTGTGAAACGATTCATCTATATATGTATATCTACATATCTAAATGTGTATAGGTGTCGTGCTATATTGGTGGAGCTATACGTATGGTGCAATATGTATGGTGCTCTACCTGTTGTGCAGTCTACGCGCAATATGTGTGGTTTGGTCTATCTGGTGCGCAATCTATGTGGTGCAATCGATGTGGTGCAATACATGTGGTGCAAACTGCGTTGTGCAATCTTTGTTGTGCACTATTCGCGGTGCAATATATGTGGTGCGCAATCTATGTGGCGCGCACTCTGTATGGCTCGCAATCTTTATGGTGCGCAATCTATGTTGTGCAATCGACGTGGCGCAATATGTGTGGAGCAATCACTGTTGTGCAAAATCTGCGGTGCAATCGATGTTGTGCAGTCCAGAGGCGGCAAGTGGCGACGAGGCAGCGACGGGGCGGCGACGGCGACAACATAGCCGCCAGACAGCCACACTGGCCCAGACGACGGGCGGAGACGAGGCGGCGACGGGGCGGCGACGGCGGCTACGTAGCCGCCAGACCGCCACACCGGCCCAGACGACGGGCGGCGACGAGGCGGCGACGGGGCGGCGACGGCGACAACGTAGCCGCCAGACCGCCACACTGGCCCAGACGTCGGGCGGCGACGAGGCGGCGACGGGGCGGCGACGGCGACGGCGACGGTCCAGTGTGGGAGGGCAGAAAACCGAGACCAGCCCTCCCAAGAACCATTGAGCTTGGAATTGTGTCGTGAGCCAGATCGAGCTCGTCCTGGTTCACCGAGTCGCAGGGGCGAGGACTGGGAAGAGAAAAAGCAAGCATCGCCTGAGATTGAAGGGGCCCTGGGACACGCAAGTAAAGACATGCAAATAACAGAATCCCCCAGATTCCCCCATGTTTTCAAAGTTTCGGTCTTCCCTCCCACTTCCCATATTTTCTGGGCAATCGACGATTCCTTGCGTCTGTGTGCTACTTTCCCCCTCCTGAGCGATGCCGGCCGACAAGGGCCCACCCGCCAGAGAGCCCCGCAGCCAGCGACGGGCGCCCGCAGCCGGACCCCCCCCCCCCGCTTTTCGCAGACCTGTGGACGAGGGCCGCGGTAGGCCCGGGGCGGCCGCAGCCAAGCGCTCCAGATCCTCAGCCCTCAGGATATACACTCGGGGCCTTGACCTAAGGAGCCCCAAATAAGGAGCGAGGCCCCTTCTCTCCATAAGTTAAACTTCGCTGTCCGATCGACAACATAAGGAAAACCTGAGGCGAGCTGCGAAACACTTGAGGAACGCGGAGCCCCTCCCCAACGAAACGGCAGGGCCGTTTTTTCACCGTTTCCCGAAACATGTCCCTTGAAAATGAAAAAAGGGTATTAAAAAAACGGCAAGCCGGAACCGGTGAAAAAACCGCCCTGTCGTTTCCAGGGCCCACTAAGAGCCCGTGCCTACTTGCAGACGCCCGACAACAAGTGTTTGTCTCGGCGTGATGGATCGTCAATCCCCCGCGGCGCACCCTGGTCATTCGCGAGTAGTTACTCTGCGAGCAGTGGAACGCGCCTGTCTACAGCCGGGGCGCCGACGAAGGAGCCCTTCTCGTGGGCCAGGGGCCCGGCGTTCCTCGAGTGGCTTGCAGCTTGCCTCGGGTGTTGCCGAGGCGTTCCAGGGGGGGCCGAAGTTTGACTCCTGGGACAAAGGGGCCTCGTTCCTCATTTGGGGGACCCGAAATGGGTACCGAAAAAATGGGTACAATGCCCAACAGCAAATGTTGTCCCAAACCAACAGCGGCCGCTGTTGGGCGGGCGGCCTCCTGTCTCAAATGGACACAGGCCGCGGCGGCGCGGAAAGCGAGTCGTGTTCAAAATGAACAGGAACTGCTGTTGGGCATCGTACCTATTGTTTCCGTACCCATTTCGGGCGTCCAGATCATTTGGGGGGCCCGAGGTCAACGCCCCGACTGTGCCCGCAGAGTCCTCGCAGGACCACGCGCCCCCAGGGGCTCCGTTCCGCTGGGCACCCTTGCTGCGGGCGTCGCCTCTCCGACCGGCCCCGTGTCGGGATCGCCCGGCAGGTCGGCACCCAGACGCCCCTGGAACACTTGAGAACACAACGGAGGGAGGAGGAGGAGGAGGAGGAGGAGGCGGAGGTAGGAGGGAGGAGGGAGGAGGAGGTAGGAGGAGGCGGAGGAGGAGGAGGCGGAGGTAGGAGGAGGAGGAGGAGGAGGAGGCGGAGGAGGAGGAGGAGGAGAAAGGAGGAGGAGGAGGAGGAGGAGGAGGAGGTAGGAGGTAGGAGGAGGAGGGGGAGGAGGGAGGAGGGACGCCGGTTGGGTGGGCGGAGCCTCCCGGGCCCCGAGGGCCTGCCAGGGCCGCCGCTCATCGCAGGCGCCGGTGAGCCCGAAGGCCGAACAGCAAGACTCGTGGGGCCCCCCGTAGGGCCCAGGGCCTCATAGTGCTCATTTTGGGCGCCCGACTTATCCGGGGTAACTCGGGTCCGGGGTAACTCGGGTTTGGATTCCCGAAAAAGGAACCCGAGTTAGCCCTGACCCGAGTTACCCCTGATGATTCGGGGCCCTGGACGCCCGAGTTATCCGGGGTAACTCGGGTCCGGGGTAAGTCGGGTTCGGAATCCTGGAAAACGAACCCGAGTTATCCCTGACCCGAGTTACCCCTGATGATTCGGGGCTCTGATCATTGGCCTCCCGGGGCTCACGAAAAGGGGCCCGCGGCGTCCTGCATCTTTCCTCAACGTGCTCGTTGGCAACGGACAATCAAACGCGGAGACACGGACGAGCAAGAATGCAAATGACACTCCAGACGTTTCTTTTCCCGACAGATATTGTTGGTGTCGGGCTCCGGTGCGCCGACAGTGGCCCGGTAAGGGGTCCCCTGAGACCAAAAATGGCCAGGAACTTTCCGCTGTGATTCTGTCATGACGCAAGGAGGTCGGGCAAATGTCAGTCAACATCGAATCGGGAAGCGGGACCGAATCGGAATGCGCGTCGGACCCGGCCGCATCGGCACGGAGCCAGAATCGAATCGGATAAGCCGCGCCAACATGCACAGCAACGCCGCGCAGGCATCGGGCCGCGAGGGATCGTCGGAACGTCAGAACCGAGTCGGATCGAGCCGGCCAGGCTCGATATCGGTCGGACGGAAGCGGACCCTGCAGGGCCGCGAGCAAGTCGCGAGACGAGGGAGGAGGAGGGAGGAGAAGGGAGGAGAGAGAGGAGGAGGAGGAGGAGGAGGAGAAGGAGGAGGAGGCCCTCTGCTCCCTGCTCCCCTGCTCGTCCCAGGCAGCGCCAAGGGGGGTCACCACTACGGAGGGTCGGTAACTTCTCCAGGAAGTGGACCTCCCTGAACACCCCAGAACCCCCGAGTGCTCCCGAAGACGCCCAAGACATTCCAAACATCCTCGATCGTCGATCCGCCCTTCTACTCGATCCTCGACTTCCACAGCGAGGTACACCCGTAGTCGCGCAACCCCTGCGGGACCCCCGACGTCATGACTTTTCATCACGGAGGCTCCCGGCGGTCTCGACCCGATCCCCAGGACCGATTTTTCATCCCGAGTCGTTTTTGTCACTGTCCCAGGGCCTTTCGAGGGCCCTTACTAGCCGAAAATAGCAACATACCTTCCATTGTGATGTTCTCACGACTCGATGACGTTCGGTTTTCGTGCCATCACTCGGGCCTCTGGCGGACGATACATACACCCCCAGAACGCTCTCGACGATGCGCAACTGATGTAAGCTACCCTCCCTCGGAAACTTACGAGACCGGAGGAACGTCGAGAACTACGTTTGGAAAGCGAACGATGTAAGCTACCCCAGCCCTCGAAAACTTGCGAAAACGGCCGATCGTCGACACGAGCGATGTAAGCTACCACAGCACTCGAGCGTCGAGAGATATCTTTTGAACACGAACGAGGTAATCTACCCCAACCCCCGAACATTTACGAAAACAGCCGAATGCCGAGAGCTATCTTTGGAGCACGAGCGTAGCCCATGACGAAGGGCGACGTGAAAAGCCTTATTTTCGAAAACTGGCGCTCCAGTTTCGAAACCAGCCCCACACCTTGGAACACGAGCACTGCCGCACGACGACGACGACGACGACGACGACGACGGCGACGACGACGCGAACGACGACGACGACGCTAGCCCCACACCTTAGAACCCTGACAGACAGACTGCACGCCTGACGAGGCCCCGGGCGTCCCCCCCTCCTGGGGACAGCGGCGCCTCTCTCCAGCGCGGCGCAGCGCTGGGCGCCCTCGGTGAACGCGACCTGCAGCTCCGAGAACCTGGAGGGCGGCGGGGGGCAGGATGAGGGGAAGGTGGGCCCTCCTCCTCCTCCTCCTCCTCCTCCTCCTGCTCCTCCTCCGCCTCCTCCTCCTCCTCCACTTACTCCCTCCTCCTCCCCCTCCTCCTTCTCCTCCTCCTCCTCCCCATCCTTCTCCTCCTCCTCCTCTTCCTCCTCCTCCTCCTCCTCCTCCTCCTCCTCCTCTTCCTCCTCCTGCTGCTGCTCCTCCTCCTCCTCCTCCTCCTCCCCCTCCTCCCCAGGCTACATTGATTCGCGGTGTTGAAGTCCCAGGAATGGCGTTCTGGTACGAATTAGGATCGTCAAGACGCAACACTCAAATTCATCCGTGGCGTTGGAATTCCGACAAGCATGCTTTGAGATGCGTCAGGGTCTTCAAACCTTTGTCTTTCAACGAGGCAGTTCCCTCAGTTGAAATGACCCTTGTAGGGGTCTATGAAGAGGGAGCTTAGAGGGAGGGTTTATCCCAACATCGTTGATGACTCTTGGGTTTACAATGGTCTTCCTCCTCCCCCTCCTCCTCCTCATCATCATCATCCACCTCCCCCTCCTCCTCCTCCTCTCCCGAAATCCTCTTCCTTACATACCTATACGACCACCGTTCGGGTGATAAGGAGGTTCGGGGGGGGAGAACCAACGTCTCACTCGATCGGGCTCACTATCGATCTCACTATCGATCTCAGTATTGGTCTCGCTCGATCGATCTCACTATCGATCTCACTCGATCTATTCAATTCGATCGATCTCAAAATCGACCTGACTATCGACCGCACAATCGATCGCACTATCGATCTCACTATCGACCTCACAGTCGATCTCCAATTCGATCTAACTATCGACCTCACTATGATATCGACACCATCGTCATCAACGTCATCAACATCATCATCACCATAACACCATCATCGTCACCATCATCATCAACAGCATCATCATCGGGACACCGTAAACATCATCATCGGAAAACCACCATCATCACCATCTCATCATCATGATCATGAACAAAGCCATCGACCTCAAAATCATCGGGACGCCAGCATCATAATTCACAACACCATCATCATCATCATCATCATCATCGGAGCACCATCATCATCATCATCACCGTCATCATCATACACATCATCGGGGCAACATCATCATCATAATCAACATTAGCATCATCATCACCATCATTGGGCCACAATCATCAACATCATCATCACCGCATCATCATCATCAACATCATCATCATCGGGACACCATCATCATTATCACCATCATCATCAACAGCATCATCATCAACCTCATCATCATCATCATCATCATCATCATCGGGACACCATTATCATCATCACCTTCATCATCATCATCATCATCATCGAATAATCTGATCATCATCATCAAGATGATCAACACCATCGTCCTAGGGGCAGAATCAGACACATCAGCAACATCAGCATCATCAACATCATCATCATCAGCATCATCATCATAATCATCATCATCATCATCATCATCGGGACACCATCATTATCACCACCATCACCATCATCATCATCATCATCATCAACAACATCGTCATCACCATCATCATCATCATCATCGGGACACCATCATCATCACCACCATCATCATCATCATCGCCAACATCATCATCATCATCATCATCATCATCAGCATCATCATCATCATCATCATCATTATCATCATCATCATCATCATCATCATCATCATCATCATCATCATAATAATCATGATCATCATCATCATCATCGGGACACCGACGGGACACCGGCGGGACACCGGCGGGACACTGCGCGTCACTGGCCCCCGAGCGGGACACCGGCGGGACAACGCGGGGCACCGGTTGCCGGAACGGAGACTTTTGGTCCGGCCGCGCCTCAACTACAGGAGACTTATTTCTCGCCCGCCCACGCAGCTTCGCCTCGTCCGCACGCACGGCACGCACGAACACGAAACCGAAACCGATTTTCCGGTTTTGGGGCTCTCTGTTCCACTTCGATCTCACCCCCTCACCTTCGACAGATACCTCCTTCCTGTCGCACCCTGAGGCCGGTCGAAAAGACGGGCGGGCGTTTCTCCCGTGACTTCTTCACAACGCGTGGTCCTGAAGCTTGAAATTTACAACAGTTTCACGGATGGAAGGCGGTCGGCTTCCAACGTGTGGCTGTCGTCGCCTTAGCGCCGCGCGCATTCGTCTCAAGAGTTCGCAAGATCTTCACGGATGGAGGGCGGTTCTTTTTCAAAATGTTGCTCTCACCTTGGCGCCGCGCACATTGGCCAAACGATGTTGCAGCAGCTTGTGGAATTGTCATGGTTATCGTCTCAGGAATGATGTTGGAGACGATTGGGGATCGCCAAGGCGCAACACTAACGGTGATTCGCGGCGTTGAAGTCCCAGGAAATGCGTTCAGGTACACTTCCGGATTTTCAAACGGTTGTCTTCCAACGGAGCATGACCCGTAGTGGAAATGGAACAAGGAACTTCGATGGAGGGTTCATTGCAATATCGTTGCTGGATCTTGGGCTTGCGCTGGTCCTTCTCATCCTCCAGAGCTTCTCGGGGCCGGCTCCCATCATCCCTGGCGCGCACCGCGCGCCGTGGAGGGGGGTCCAACGTCGATCTAGCGAAACTCTGAACATTTATGTTCATGCCGCGCATTCTTCTTAAACCTGCTAAACAGACGACCCAGGATAAAACCTGGGCCCCAGAAAAAGGGGTCCACACCACTGGGGAGCCACGTTGTCACACATAACGGCGTCTTATGCCTGGGTGCACTTCCTCCTGCTCCGACTTCGGTCCTCCCACCTGACTTCGAATTTCGTCCTTCGCTCTTCATCACCCGCTGCCACAAGGCTCTTGCGCTGTGGCTTAACGTTTCACGTGTCATCACGAAAACTGCCGGCTCTCCCACTGAGTGGAAGGGGGAGCGACAGATGCCCGCCCCTGTTTCGTGGCATCTGCTCAGCCCGAATCTAAGAATGTCGGGTTCGACCCCGCCATGGGCGCAAAGCCGACAGTAACGCACAGAGGAAATGACCCCAAGGTTCTCTCTGGGACGTCCCCGCGAAAGCCTCGAGTCGACCCTATCTGATGGTGCAGATGGCCCCACACCAACCAGGAACGAGAGGAAGAAATTCCCCCGCCCTCCCCGTCGAGTCTCGGCGAGAAGGCGACTCCAGAAGCGGCCGAGCCAGGAAACTCTGAGACGATCAGGGGAACTCCGAAAACGCACCAGGATACATCCCGCCTCGTCTTGTTCTGCAGCCGCTTTTCCCCACCTCCTCGTGTGGCGGTCCCCTTTCTCTGAATTCCCTGGCTCGCCCAGCCCCATCCAATGGTGTGTGTGTGTGTGTGTGCGTGTGTGTGTGTGCGTGTGTGTGTGTGTGTGTGTGTGTGTGTGTGTGTGTGTGTGTGTGTGTGTGTGTGTGTGTGTGTGTGTGTGTGTGTGTGTGTGTGTGTGTGCGTGCGTGTGTGTGTGTGTGTGTGTGTGTGTGTGTGTGTGTGTGTGCGTGTGTGTGTGTGTGTGCTTTCCATGCCGGGGCCCCCTGGTGTCCCGACCGTTTCCCCAAGGCCGCCCGTTGGTCCCAAGCGCTGTGGTTTGACGGCCCGAGGGTCCCGCGGGGGCCCCCAATGAAGGGCGGGCGACGGCGAACAGCCTCGCCGTGTACCCCGCCAGATTTTGAACGTCCGGGAGGCTCGGTGGCTTTCGAGCCGCAACATGGGCATTCAGCGGCCACTCGGAGTGCGGAGCTGGAGGGATAGGAGGAGGGAGGTGGGTATGGGTATGGGTATGGGTATGGGTATGTGTATGGGCGCGGCCTGCGTCCGCAGCAGGCGGGGCGGGCGGGGCTCCTCAGCACGTGATGTGCCCCTCGTCGTAGTCGTCGGAGTCACTTCCGAGGCTGGTCGCTGCGCGGGTCGCTGCCCGCCCAAACTCGCGCACATCCTCGATGTGGGACTCGCGCACGCCATTGCGCCGCAGCAGGTGGAATCGAGCCGCTCTCCCATCGGGCAGCGCCTCCACGGCGTCGCATGCTGCCCGATGCGCGCCTCCAGCCTCAGAAGTCTGGCTACCCAGCAGGCTGACTGACAGATCGAGGCGCTCGTCGAAGTTGACAGCGAAGGTGCCCACGAGCCGTTCGCCTTGGTGGCCATCGCGGTAGTGCGGTCACTTGAGCTGGCGGATGACCCTCAGCTGCTCCACCCCAGCTCCTCCTCGCCGCCCCTTGCACGGCGCCTTGAGCAGCTTGCCGGGTCGCTTGCCCGTCATCACGGCACCGCAGGTGAGGCAGAAGACCAGGCGCACCTCGGGCCTCTGCACGACGCCTCAGCGGAGCAGCGCGCGGCCTTGCACCCTCCGCGAACGCCTGGCCAGCGCAGCCCCGCCCAGGTCGGACGGGAGGGCGTCGAGGCGGGGACCGGCGGGCCTGGCTGCGGCGTCTCCAGGTCCAGCGCCCGCCCCATCGCTTGGAGCTACCTCGCCTCCTCGCCTCTGACCCGCACCCTGTTCACTGGCCTCCCCTCCCTCGCGCCGCGACTGCCCGAGTGCCGGGGGCGAGGGAGGGGGGGCCGAGGGGTGGCCGCCGACTTCGGGCTGGTCAGCCTGCAGCTTTTTCAAGTCTGTCTGGTCGCCGCGTCGCGTGCCCGGCGCCGCGCCTGCGCCCCATGCAGCTTCGCCACGGGCCACTCCTCCACCTCCTTTTCTGGCCCGCGCGCGAAGGGCGTCCCGGGGGGCAGCTCCCCCTCCTGGCAGCAGCGCCACGGCCACCCGCGCCCGCGGCCACCTCAGCAGGAACGCTCGAGAATCTCGGGCTGACAACCGAAAGCCCAGGAACCTGGTCGCGCACCCTGGCTTCGGACCATCTGGCGCATTTTTGCTGCGGCGCGGCCAGAGCGACATCAAAATGTGTTCCATCGCCGAGCTGGTCTCCTTCGCCATCTGCTTCCGCCGCCGCTTCTTCGCTTGGGCCAGCGCT